AAAAATAACATGAACAAGAAAACATGAACTATGGTGAGAACAATAGTAACCTCTTCGAATATTTGCAGCAATTTGGTCGTTTCGGATTGATACACCGAGAAAGTAATCTCTTCGAAACGTTCAATGGAGTTTCCTCCATGTTATCAGCAAGTCGTTCTTGAGATCCAATCATCACCATATCTACACAACCATAAAGGTGAAAGTTTCGAAAACAATCCAAACTGCGCTCTCTCAATGCTTCACTCAGCTCAGAACATCCGTCATCGTATCGTAGGATGCATCAAAGCATTTATTCAAACAACATGACTACTCAAGTAAACCAAAGAATCACTTGCTTATAATATGGAATATTCATGAAGCAATTTTTAATTTCATCTTTCGGCAACTAATTTAGCTAGTCTATCTCATAGTTTGAGGCCACGGATCGTTCAATCAATACTAAAACACACTACTCACCTGCACATATTGTGGAAGCCGAACGTACACAACAATTGCTTTCAAGCGGAGGATTCGATGCAGCTGATGCAGACCTGAAGCCATGTTGTATACTTTCAAAGGAAAATGGTGGAAAACCTTTCATAAAATCAAGATCATAGCGATGAAGGACNATGTTTAAAGGACGAGATGTTTCACTAGCGATTTGTGAAAATGAAACAAATTCAGTGACGGTGCTACTCATCAGCAGGTAGATGTGATGTGAGCAGTAAACAGAGAGAACGCACCGAGTCATGAGAATAGGTAAGCGAGTGGGTCGAATTCGGCTTCTGCCACGGTGCGTTGGAGTCGATGAATACCGATCAGAAACTGAGGCCGCAGAAGAGAGCGGTGAATCACTTCGAGCACGGAAACCATTCAAATCGAGACTATCATAGAAGTTATGAACAGCTCCGAACGAAGGATCCAGCGATTTGCGACGCTCACTTTCATCGAATGCGGCAGCGTACCCAATGAAATTATCATTCGTATTATTATTCTCAAGATCAATTCTGAAGATTGCTCGTCTCGAATTTGTTGCCGAATGAACACCGGAACATTGCGAATCATTCGGAGCCACAGACGGAGACGAATAACTGCTGCTGCTGAATGAGGTTGAAGTGGATTCGATAGAAGCGAGAAGTATACAACCCGAATTGCTCAAATCATTACTTGCATGATGCGTACAATGAGAGTTACTGAGCACTGAACTAGTCGAAGTGAGATTATTATTATTATTATTGTTATTGTTGTGGTGTTGTTGTTTGTATTTGGAGGTGATGTGTGATTCGTTGGAGTGATTCGATTGTAGAGTTTGGACTGCTTCTGGCATTAAATGGAACGTCGATCGTCTTGGTTTGAAAATTAATGGGAACTGAATTTGTGGTCGTGATATAATGTTCGTGTCTAGCCGTGATTTCCGCTTACAAGCCCACGAGCTTTTGGATAAATGAGCGTGCCGCCGCCGCTCGATGCTGCAGCAGTCGCCCTTCCAAGCGCGCTGCGGGCACGTACGTTTTTTGAATGAGCCGACGATAACCTGAAAAAAGCAGAGATTGGAAATGATGGTACTGAGTAGAATTTACGCTGAAATGACTAATTCGAAGACAGATTTATGAGGATTTTCCCCAAAGGATGAAGAGAGAAATCGTTCTTGAGAACAATTGTGAAAAACGATTGAATTCGTGGGTTACGTGAATATCTTATGCAATTATCATTTTATCGCGGTATTAAGTTTATGTCTCTGTGATATCCAATTAATCAGATCAGCATTTCACATAGAAAGATGATTATCTGGGCTAGTATCATTAGTTGCGTCGTTAGAAGGATGTCACGGAAAGAAGAATATGATAGTTGTGTCACTGATACTAACAAATAAACCGAAACTTGTGCAAAGTTCTAATTACTAATGAAATAAAATTATCAGTTTAACCAAGGTAAACTATTCTTTCTGATTTGTTGGGAAACGATTTTATCACTATTGAAATATTTATTAGACGTTTAAAGAACTCAACAGATAATCTTCACGAAAGGTGAGAAGAAGTGTTCTCACCTAGAAGCAGATTGCAGCCTAGAGCCGAGGGTATTTGATGAACGTGTTGTCCTTATAATTCTATTTGAATTTTTCAGGATAGGAATTCTTGACGCATCAATAACAACGTTCTGTTCTTGATCTTCGTCATGTAGTGCTTGATCGATGGCATCCTTGAAACGATTATTAAATGTACATTCGATAATTAGCTGTTAGTGTTCTCAATTATTATACATGACAGAAATATTCGCCTTTGGATTATGCTGAGAACTCATCAAAATTTTCTTCAACACTACAAAACAACATGTTGTCATGGGGTAGTTCGGCGTTTTCGAATGACTTGAAACATTTGAATCTGAATATTGCTATGCGTATCTCAAGTAAGATCAACCAAAAACCAAGGCTTTCGAGTTCATTCGAAATGCTTGAGATTATCCGCATTTGTAGTTCTAATTTGAAATGTGCATGACCGCAGCACAACTGCAAGAAACGCAAAGTTACACGGCAAGATGCAAATTCGGAAACGTGATATTAACAATAGGACCGTTTCAACGGATCTTTCATACCAAAAATAAGTGACTGGCAAAATATAATAACATTGGAGCATTTTATTTCGAAGAATACCTGTAAATCTGCCTCAATTTCTGGCGGTTCGTAATCTTTTGTTCTCTTTTCCAGTTTTTCCAACGATGTGAACGTCAACACATTTTCACCACAAAACCTCATCACCTATAAAATTCATCAAATTTGACTGATTAGATGCAATGATAAAAATGCTTTGAAGCATGCTTATTGTTAGATGGACGATGATCCTGCTATGAACTGAACCAACTGAAAGAGTTATTGAGGATATTTCAGAATGAAAGCAGAACGACTCAATATTTCAATGACTCTACACCGCGACTGAAGTGAAATTCATTCGAATTTTGCGACTATGCAGTTGATTTTGCACGAAGTTAAGCAAATTCGACAAATGTTCGCCACGAACCTCATCCGGAATAATGGCGCTCACACGTGTTGGATACGTGCAGTACCGTAGACGTTCACTACGTGACTGTACGCTCATTCGTTGTCGAAGGCGATTCAAGCAAGTCCTCTCGAAGTCACCTATCGGTCGACGAATTCCAGCAATTGAAACCTCAAATTTCAACACATCAGACGGCGAGCACGAACAGAAAACGCATAAACTTATATTTACGAACGATAGGAACGATAATGCCCACTGTTAACTTCTATTACAGATTGGACTCGGGAGAATGAGGATTATTTATAGTTGATGCAGTGATTTGATAGCTTTTTCTGGAGGAAACGTTTGTTAGGGGGATTGAACAATTGGAATAGAGTCGAAAATGTTTCGAGATTGCAGTTTGCAGTTGCGAGCATTCATGAGGCATGTTAAATACAACGAAAAGAGCGACACAGA